GTAGAACTTACCAGCCAAGATGGCAGACCCAGAAAGTTTCTCCAAACCTTGCCAACTGGGTAGCGTCTCTATTCCTAGTGCACTATGCGACTTGGGAGCGAGTGTGAGTCTACTACCAAATACCACATATGACAAGCTGAGTGTGGGTGAACTGAAACCCACTAAGATGATCCTGCAGCTAGCAGACAAGTCAGTGAAAGCCCCTCTAGGGACTTTGGAGGATGTACCGCTTAAGGTTGGAAACGTTTACGTTCCGACCGATTTTGTGGTTATTGATATGGACAACAGAAATGATGAATCAGTCATCTTAGGACGTCCATTCCTCAACACTTTTGATGTTGTAATTCATGTCTAGAAGGGATGCATAGAAATGCATATAGGAGATGCAGACATCGAATTCAAGCTGGAACAAAAACCAGAACGGGGTAATAGGGAAAATGAGCATCTATTGCCTATCCCAAAAGAACCGCCAGGTTCACCGGAAAAACAAACCCTGCGACTAAAGGCTAAAGGCAAGGGAACTGCCTATGACGGAGACATCTACAACCTGCCGGTGGCTAAATCTGTAAGCTCCGAGGTAGAGAATGGGACAAAAGTCAAATCCGAATCCCTGATTTAAAAGTCTGAAGAATCATCTGATGGAAAAATCCCACAAAAGCAAGGCAAAATTCTGAATATCCCTGATGCCGGAATGGGACCCAAAGTGAAACCGCCAGATCCAGTTTCTGAATCTGTAAGCGGAAATGACTGCAAGTTGAAGCAGACTGTGTGCACTAGTACAGTGTACATACCCCCGGGACCGTGGGGTGTAAACCAATTCCGTCCAACGCGACCACCAGATCACTGAAAATGAGAGGATCAAGCTGATGACCTTAAATTAGCGCTTGACGGGAGGCAACCCGTGCAATTGCATTGCATTAGCACGTTTAATTTCATGCATTCTCATCACATTGCTAGTTTTGAGATTACTGAACAGGGAGCACAGAAAAGAAAAGACACAAAGTACAAGGGAACACGAGCTTACACAGAAAGGAGAGGCGATCTACACACGAGCTCAATCGAGCTAAGCCTTCTTTCTGTTCTTTTACATTATTATTTCCCTATTACTATCTGTCTATTATTTTTGTTCGTACCCCACCGAGTTAGACTGACACTGCGGACGGTGTCAAGTTTAAGTCTGAGGGAGAGGTCTAACGCCCTGATAACTCTCATTTCTAGCAACTGCATATCACGTTTCATGCATTTCATCATACATCTAAAATTTTTTCAAAATCTTTCAAAAATATTGCATCCATCTGCATTAGTTTTGCATATCACTTGCATTCTTCGCATGACATATAGATTTAGAAGTGCATTCACATGAGCATATAGCTAAGACACATAGGAAACATGCATAGAAAATATTTTTGAGAATGTTGGTTAGCTGACATATAAACGATAGAGTAGAGATTCTTTGATGTTTTAGTGAACCGGATTTAGGTTTTCCTAAGTATAGACCGGATTGTCGAGTTTTCATTTGAATTGGTTGATCGAATCTTGGAATGATAGCACTAGCTTGTGGGGTACGATAGAGTTTAGAGACTAGGACTGTTAGAACTATCTAGCCAAGCGTAGAAGTTTTTCTAAGAGTCGTTCCCCATTCGCATGAATACTAGGCCCTAGTATAGTCGAACTGAGCTTAACCATTGTTTTACCACTCTTATTTTAGATAACAGGCTTCTCGTCCGGGGATGGCGGCAATCATCACGAGATGAGCTATAAACCCTGTACCAAACCTAGATTTTTCGACCTTTAGACCTATACATGTCAAGATACTTTGGGAAAGAAAGTCGGAAAAAGAAAAGAAAAGAAGCCGGGAAAAAAGGAGAAAACGAAAAAAGAAAAGAAAGAAAAAGAAAAGAGAAAAAAAAAGAAGAGAAAAAGAAAAGAAACTCCCGAGGCAAAAGAAGTAGAAAAGCGTTATAGAATTAGAAGAGTATTTGTACTTAGCATTATATGCCTTGACCCTCTTCTACACTCACTTTCTTACTTCCCACAACCTTAGGACCGAACTATTCCTGTGAACAGTGATAAATAGGTTTGAGAAACGTGCTTGGTAGATAGTTAATTAGAACAGTCTGGGTGGCACTAAGCGATAGGAAAAACCCCATAGCTATTATTCATTCCGAGAGACAAAAGACCATAGTAAAGTAAACTTGATTCCGTTCACGGGTAGCTAGAACTAGATGAGAATCTCGCTTTTGACATTCATGTGGAATCGACCCTTCATTCTCCTTCTCCCTTTTTAGACCGTTTTCTTTAAAGTTTTGCTCGAGGACGAGCAAAAGTCTAAGTCTGGGGGAGTTCATGACATCGGTTTTTGACATTATTTTCCTATGGTTTTAGTTGCATTTCACCCTTCTTTTTCGTACAAATCTAGCATTTAGGCTACATTTTCTGCACAAATACCGTTTTCTCTATTCTTTGATGTGATTTCAGGAATATTCGCGTAATTGGACGAAAACAGAGCTAAAACGGTGTTTTTGGAGCTTATTTGGACCAAGTAAACAGTCACGTACGAGCTAAGGAAGGTGACAAACTTGTCGCGGGCGAGAAACGGACTTCAGAGCGAAAAAGGGAGAATATTGAGATTAAGAACATCGATATCGACATTTCATAACATCGATGTCAACTTCAAAACCTCGATATCGAAATTTCCAGCCACCTCGAGATCAGATTTTCAGATTTCCAGATCTAGATGTTCTTGAACATCGATATCGATGTTCCATACCTCGAGATCTGAGCAGTCCAGATATCGACCTTTCCCAACGTCGATATCGAGCTTCCAAAACCTCGAGATCTAGGAATCTTGGAGGAATATCGACGTTAGAAAACATCGATATCGAGGTTTCTAACATCGATATTTTGAAATCTCTATAAAAAGATCATACAGAAACCGAGATGGGGTTCGACTTTTGATACATTTTCGGAGACACTTTGTAATTTTCGACTTTTCAACACTTTGGAGGACGATTTGGAGTGGATTTGGCTACATTTCTTTGTTCAAGGATTGAATTCTACAAACTATAAGTCTTCTATTCCCTTTTTCTATTGAAATGTTGATTGAATTCATGTCTATTTTGTTTTCCTCATTGATGTGTGAGTAGTTCATTTGCTGTAGGCTAGAAAATCTAGTCATGTTACGGAATTATCAATGTGCTTAACCGGTTGAATAAATGTCTAAGTTAGATCTGGTTTTATGAATTGAACGTAATGCTTTCTTAGGATTGATCACCCTGTAGAATTGAACTTGGATTAGTTAATTGCAAAGGAATTTGGATTAACTAATACCGGAATTCGTTCATAAGATAGGTTCAATTATTAATTCTGAACGCATAGGATGGACTTGATAAGGAAGCTGATAGGAAAGCGTTAGTTAGAGAGCGATAGATCTCTGACCGGACGCGTTCTAGAATAGAAGCTAGAGTTTCCCGAATCAACCTTAGACTGCAACTCAACCATATCTATCTAGATAATCCGTAGCATCGGTGAACTCTCCGAACCTACAATGCTTTTAATTATAGTTTTTCCCACCAACCAACAACTCTTGCGCTCTGTTCTTGCTAGGATCAATACCGACACCATCACCTCTCGGTCCCTGAGTTCGACCCTGGTACTACATCGAATCCGTACCCTTGCGGAATCGGATTAGTCTAGGTTTTATTACTTGACTCAAACTCATTCACCTAGATTGGCACGATCAATAAATTACAAGTTCTCATATCGTACGATCATCATAGAGCACTAAAACCATCAGTGAGTAGTTGCACCAAAATCTATCTGTCAAGTGTATCTAGGTGCCGAAGTTAAATTAACTTCAGAACAAACAAAAGCGAGAAATATACCTTTCGTTACATGAAACATGTCATAAGAAATAAAACTCCTTAATTTTCTATTTCTTTTACTGTAACTGATATTTCTAGTAACTCAGAAATTTATAATACAGAAAAAAATAGATATAAATTTATCATACAAAATTTATCCGTCCCCCACTTTTTTATTATATCACAATATTATTATTTACTAACAAATAAAAATCTGCAAACAATTCACTAACAAAACATCATTCATACGAATATACATGTTAGACTCTCATACCAATTGTTATTTCTTAATCGATTTAACAATATTGTATTTTCTGGATATGCATAAATAAACCTTGAATCTAATACGTAGAATCGTAAGAATGAAATAATATCGAATCATATTTGAATCCATTTTCGCAATGGAATCCATGGTGTCTAAACAACGGTTGAGATTTGAGATCTTCTAGATCAACATGCGAACATAAAATAATTCTCACAATATGGGGCTGTAAGAATTCTGAAAAATTGTGTTTGACCTAGGGACCATAACCCTTAATTTATAGAAAATTAATTTCTAATTATTTCCCATTCCACCCATAAAAGAAATGAAAATAATATAATTATATCTGCACATTAATCTCATATTTTATCGAAATGATAATTAAGTTTTTTAGTTCTTAATTAGATCATAAATAACCTAAACAAAATAGCATATAATATATATCTTAATTGATTAGAGTGTTGATCCATATGATTATCGAAAATAATCCCTACATAAAAATTATAGAATAATTCAAACATGAACTATCGAAAATAACACTAATTTAATATTGTTTGTTTTATTTATATCTTATCTCTCTATCTATTTACAGTATCTAAACGATTCGAACCTTCAACAATCTTTTCTACTGTTAATATAATAGTCATTACATATATATATATAAATACTTGAATTTTTGGACTGAATAATCTTTTACTCGATATTAAATTTTAACCACACAAATGGACATAAAAAAGCATGATTAACGATTATCTCCGGATCGGGATTAAGTGGACCGGTTCCAATGAACTTGTCGGTTACAAAATTTTTTTAACCACGCACAAACAGACACATGTATAACGGCATTCAAACAAAAAGTGTACAAGACTCGTGGATATATAAAAAAAAAAAAAGTAAGAAGCAGAAGCCTCACTTATAAATACAATCCTTCACATCGTGGCAAACATGTCACTCACTTACAATGTATCACTACTACTTTGCAACTTCAATGGCCACAAAATCGAAAAAATAAACCCCAAGAACCCAACAGATTCGAATCAAATTCCGAAGATTTTGCTTCTAAAAATCGAAAGAAATGATACTCAAAAGTACCTAGTGCTATTCCTCCTTCCCCACCATTTCCTCTTCACTCTCTCCAATGATCCTCCTGATTCATCGTTCCCGAGCTTGTTAAGTATCACTTTCGTTTCCCGCAGTCTCGTCCCGTAGTCCTTCTTCCACTTCTCAAACATCTCCTTCAACCTACGAAGTTCCCGATCCGGATACAGATTTGCTTCCACCTGACCAGATTTCACTTCCACCAAGAACTTTGCATCATCCCCGAAAACTTGAGCTCTTTGTTCGAATTCCTCAGCCAAACGGCTTATAACGCTCAAACCCGCGCTCATAGGCCTTGTCCCTCCGTTGCTCGTTTGGGACCTGAAATTACCCGCCGAATCCCAGTCTGTACCATCGCTTGCATTTACTGATGCATCCGAGTTTCTTTCGGAGTCATTGGCTCCTCCTAAGCTTCTCTTTGCAATAGAGAGACTGGATTGCAATGATCGCATTTGTTTTTGCCAGATTTCTTCCATGGATTTCATTTTCGTCTCGTATTCGGACCATCGGTTCTCATACTGCTGGAGTCTTTGCTTAAGAATATCGTTTTCTTCTTCTTTCTCACGCAGAGCAGCCTCAGCCTTAAGAACCTTCCGCTGAAGTTCAGCAAGTACTGACGCCTTCACTAACACCTCGTCTGACTCGTTTCTCTGTGCAAAGGATCAGATAATGTGAAGGATGTAACAACTAATAAGCGTATCGAGCTTGGAAAATTGCAAATCATGGACAATGATAAAAGCACTTTGATGGAAAAAGAAAACAAGCTTAACTTCATCTATTAGACATGCAGAATAAGCCCTTCGATTGGGCATCGTTTAAACAGCAATCTTGAAATTGGAAAACCCGAAGAAAAATAAGTAAAAATAACCAAAAGAAGTGGAAAAGCAACACACAGCGAAGCCAGAGTGGATCTATCCTTTCCATGATTGATAACAGAGCCGAATAATATTACAAGATTTATATGCTTATAAGATGATATTTCTAGAAGGACTTTCAGTCCACCTTTGCAGCTATAGAGAACTTAGAGGTAAAGACTTACACCTGTAAAATACAGTACTAGAAGTAACAATTACCTTGGTGCCTCCAAATTTTAGCCATCCAATATCACCAGAGCATCGTCTCACCAACCAACCACGAATCACTGCAAAAAGGCTTTAGCGATTATTTAAATTTCTTATGCCCTTACATTGTTTTTCTCATTTGCTTAGAACTTGATATCAAAGATGTAAATAATCTTGACTTCGTCTTCCATGACAAGGTTACCAACACCTAACAGAAAACCTTTTACCTGATTGTATCACAACCGATGCATCAAGCATGCCCATGTACTGTTTCCTGGAGATCTTGCTCTTAACCTGGCTTTGTATAACAATGGCAGCTCTATGCCTCCGCAATAACTCCATGTACTCTTTCCTCACTTTTTCTCCACGAACAACTGTCAAAAAAAGGACGGTAGGAAGAAGCAGTGACTCATGTTAAAGTTTCAAAGGCATCTATTAGAGGAAATTATAGCTCAAACAAAAAAATTTGAAAAACCAATGAGGGATATAATACATGACTGGAGATTAGCAATCCCTCTTTTAAGCTCTTTCATATGACACCGAACTTGGTGCCCTCTGAACGAGCTTTGAACACGTAAAATGCCATGGAGAGTACGATTCCTTGTATCTTCAAGAACTCCGATCTGTAATTTAAGATACAAGTTAGATATATTTCCACAAAACACTGCATACCTCCAGAAGATATGTTGTGGAGGCCAACACAACAAGAAGGCTCAAATAAGCATATCGATACAAAGCACAGCAAGAAAGGTTTATATAGGCTTTTTCACCACAATTTCCCATTGGGACTTACAAAGATGTTAACCTCCTGTGAATCAAGACTAGGAAATATGTAGGATCATTTTAGGGAAACATTTCGGAAGCAAGAAAATAAATAATTATTTTGATGGACAACAAAGATCCCCCAGATTTATAACTGCATTCTACTGACTCAAATGTCAAGCACAAATTTTCCTTCATGTTATTTCATTTGGTGAAAGGAATATGCTGTAGAAATCTCTTATTCGAGCCCATTCCAGTAAAAGACAAGACTTACAGATATCTAGGTATTATATACCTGGCCAGTCCGGAAAAAGAGTTTGGTGTAGCCAACTTGATACATCTCTGGTAAGATGTTAAATTGATGAAGTATGGCAACAGAAACACTTAGAGGATCTTTTGCTGCAATGTCCTCCAGTAGAAGAAACCCATACCTGAAGCATATACATTACAGCTAACACCTCAGTAACTTTTCGCTATGGTCATAACTAAATAAGAAAAGCTTAAAAGATCCTTTGCAACATCATGAATGTGGAGTTACTGAATGAAGGGGTTGTCACCTCCGTGCAAACTTCTGATGAAACATTCTTGTAGGAAATCCGAACCGTGAAATCCGAACTACCTCTAGGACCCCACAACACCGTAGCTGCTGCAATACAAGGCCTTGCTCATATAACCCAGGAGACTGAACTTTGTTTGGCTTTATACAGCGAATGAAATGCGGGGTGGTGCTCTCCAGACGTTGCATCAGCTGGAAAAGTTGACCCTGCACAAAATATCCAGGCAAGATGATCAATCAAATATCAGGGATGATAAGATGTCCCCTCCTATTTTGTATGAAAGCAGAAGCTTTTGCATAAGAAATAGACATCAAACTACCACAGTGAGAGATATCAATTGATCGTAACAAGCTCAAATTTCTAATCTTGTTACAGATTACTGCAATTAGAAAACTACAAAAGGCACAACATAGATTGAATTCCCAATTAAAATTAAGGGCAAATTTACTTCACAATAGTAAAAAACAAACACAGATTTTCAGTATTTCCAAGAGCTATTTTTTTTTATATCCCCATCACACACCCCAGCACAATTTGCTCTGCAGAGCTGTAAACAGATAATCGTGTCAATTGGTTCGTGCAGAAATTGAAGAAACAGGTTTGCGTTAAAGGTCAAAGCCACGTACCTTAAATTTTGTTGCTACACTGAGTCTTTGGGAATCAGCTCCACCTGCTTTATATAGAGGACCGACAACAAATTTCTCGGATTGGACGAGCATACTAGAAGCAAATGCTTGAGGAAGGTGGCAAGAACAAGAGGACAAGAGTTGAATAGAATCCAAGTGCAACAAGTCTCTGTTCTTCTCTAGAAATCCAATCGTATCATATGTAACCTGAGTTGGAGAAGCAAGAGATTAAGAAGTTGTAAGGAAACATTCACGACCTACACCAAGTTCTTATTTCAGTCAAGATTTAAAAATTCTCAACACAGAGCCACAGATCCCGTTGATAATAATTTGGAGTCTACAAGACTCTAGAGCTATTTACCTCTCCTGCATAGTGCGCAACTGTGAAAGCCTTCCCTCGTTCACCTCTGAAGCACAAATTAGAATTTAAATGTTGTTTAAGCTTGTTGGCAAGTGTTAAATCTGTCCCATTCGGAAATGTGGATTCCTCATCCAACAGAGAGAGCAGTCCCAATGGTTTCTGCACAGAAATTGAGACATGATGGCCTTAAAAGACATTTTAACTAACAAAAAAGATTTCCTCAAAGAACATATCTTAGTCATAAAAAACCAGTACACGTTCAATAACTTATTTCTATCCTGAAAGCAGCATATACTGATTTGTGGCATATGGCAATTGCTGATTATCAAGAGGGGAATACAATAAAACATCATTCTACCTTTTCAAAGAGATTAAGACAATCTTGGTTATCTTCAAAATCAACTTTTGTCCAATCAATGCCATCCTGGATATATTCCTGGAAGGGTAGAAAAGAAAAATTAGTCCCTTAGTATTAGAACAGTCCATAGTGCTCATTCAGAAAGCAAAAAGCTTACCTCCTGTTCTAGTTTGAAAAGATGACGATTGAAATGTTGCTGTAGTCTCTCGTTTGCATAATTAATACAGAACTGCTCGAAGCTATTTTTCTGTAGAAGAAACACGCGTTGTTAATATTTTTTATGAAACATAAAACTGAACATGCATAGGTGAAAGCACAAGGCTATTACAAGGATAGATGATAAAACTGAACACACACTCCAGAATCCGTTTTCCGAAGAGTTTATAATGGTTGTCATTATTTGGGGATGTAATTGAGAATTGAATATCTATGGATGTCATAGCTTAAGGATGTAGTTTCTGTATCCAGACGAAAGCGGAGAGAGACAGAGAAGGATCATACATCAAATGATTCAAAGCCGTAGATATCTAGAATGCTGATGGATCTGCCAGTTCGCCTCTTCCCCACTGCAAGAGATTTGTTGATTTGTTCAACCAGCCAGTCAAATAAGCAGGCATAGATTGATTTGGCTAAAGCATCTCTTGTATCAATGGCCTGAAAGGAAATTAAAAAATGATTTCAGAAACAAAAAATAATTTGCCCTGTCAAAGAAATTAAAGTAATCTTGAGTTATTGAAACTGAACAAAGGAAACGAGATTCATTTTAACTTCAGAAGGAACTTTCATGCACTGCAAGGTCCAACGCCAATAATATGAAGCATAAATAATAATCACAAAACTCGAGTGCACATCACTATCTATGTCTTGCGCTAGGCCTTCACTAAAAATATAACCCCAACAACTCAGCAGTAAACCAGAGAACTCATTTGCCCTGGCAAAACTCAGGCAAACAAAACAACCCACTTAAATCTAGATTTTTCAATGTTGGATAATAGAGTGAGCTAAGAACCTCACTTTGGAAAATGAACACAGAGAAATAATATATAAAATATAAGATTCTGTGGACTAAACCTATTCCAATAATTCTTTACGTAGATACCATGAAAACCAAATCTTATGCTTCAAATAGAAGCCCGACTTTTAATCAAATTCGTGAATACCATGTTCAGAATGAGAAATCAAAAGATGTTCATGAAATATTAAACCTTACAAAATGTTACAGCATTGTTGATTTACGTGGATATAAAACATAAATAGAGATGACAGATGGAATTGAAAGTACGGAAATGTCTGGTGAAAGGATTAGAGATCAAACAATAGGATTAAAGACCAAAAAAAATAGGAAAACTGTTTTTGGCATCTCAACAAAATTATGTGATTGATACAACAACAACAACATCGCTTCATTCCCAAGTTCATTTGGGGAAAATTATGTGATTGATATTCTGAAATATGCAAGTAAGCTGAGGTCTAAGCAAGTTGACATAAAAGTAAGGCCAAATGATGAACTAAAAGATGCTACACTTAACAAGGATAATTATCAGAAGCCTATCAGAAAGTTGATTTACATGACTAAAACAGAATTATAGCATAATGAGTCGCCTGCCTGATCAAACATCTATAAAGCCAACTCCCGATAAACTTCTCCACAAAAGACAAACTAAAATTCGTTGTAAAAATTTACCTGTGATAGTGTTAGCTTCTGTACAATAGTATCATTCCCAACTCTCATCTTACGTTTCGATAGAGCTAGTTTAAGCTCATTAATGGTGCACCCAATTAGTTTAGCAACAGTTGACAAACCTGAAAGCAATAAATACTGTAGCTCAGTTGGTGTTATAGAGTCACGAGTCAAGCTGCATCCAGACAGAGCAAAAAACTGACAGCCATCAAAAGCTCTTCAAAACCAAGTTCCAAGAGGATGAAAGTGACAACAAAGCTAGCAAATAAAACAAACAGTAATTGGAAACTTTAAATCAACTAACATTAGAGGTAGCACAAGTATAAAACCGTTACACAGGAATCCATTTAACAAAGAAATCTTATGTCCAAAAATCAAGATTACTTCTGGTTTAAGAGTGCCAAAGAACCAAACATAGAACTGCCTCCTTGAAAACAATGAAGCGGGGAAGGTAAGGTCACAAGAGGAGGATGCCTAAGTTCAGCACAAAAAAGGCATAGGATGCCGACTAGGATATAAATTTTTCCTAGTTCATGGATTGAGAGAAAGATAACGTATATATAGATACTAACTACATAACTGCAACCTAAAAAAATGAAGAGCCTTACTTTCATCTTCTGTAGGTTCAACATGGTTTTCATTATCAATAATGGTGAAGGAAACATTCCCCAGCCATAACACTGCAGCAAGCATTGCAAATACACTGGCATGATCTTCTTTAGTAACATGTACAATGTCTAGGGCTTCCTGCAACGGAAAGTCAGGGTCACATGATACACCATTTCAAGTTAATAACACGATGTTTTTATCCAAAATATAAATAAATGTCTAAAATGAGTATGGAAAAAGGAACGGAGCTTGTCTGAAAGAGAATTACAATGACAGTTTGAAAACGTTCAGCATCATCAATTCCGTTGATTGAATAGCAATTACTCTGCCTCAGATATTTATATTGATGAGCACTCATCAAATTAAGCTTTTCTGCAGTTGACAATGAGTGGATTGAGTGAGAAAAACAAAAAAAAAATCCCACAAGAAAAACAAATGTTTATAAATAGAACTTTACAACTCTATTTAGTAATCTAGCACACGAATTACTCAAGATGTTGTGACTCAGCTCCTAAAGGAAGCAAGATATGTTTAAGAACGCATAATCAATTGGTTCCACTTCCATCATAAGCTAATCTAAAAATTCACATAAGGCCATTTAAAGGCTCATTTACAACTACCACTTATAAGTTTGAAAGTACATAAAGAATTGTTAGGAGACAAGGAGAAAATGTATGATACTATGCTTTAGTCTCTTTTATAAAAGGCTCCGTAAACAATTTAAATCTAAATGTACCTCGAAGCTCAGGTGAAGCCCCAGCACATAGCTGATAAAATATATGGTAGGACCTTTCTCCTTCAGCGCATTGGACCACTCTAGACTGCCAAAATATATCTAGGTTACAAACCATATTTATAAGGAAAAAAGGCAATCAGGGAAAATAACCTTAAAGAATTTACCTTTTCAAGTAAAACTGCAAATTTGAAGAATCAAAAAGCAAAAGGATTAGCTAGAATAGATATGGAGGAGAAAAACAATTATGTAGCAGAAGATTAAATGTTTACACTTACAGGTTTGAATTTTAGCACCCGAGATCTTTCCAGTTTCACTGAAATGAATCTCTATCAGCTTCCCCTGTCAATTTAAACATCAAGACAAAACACTATGAGGCAAATTAATCAACACTTATTCATTGTTCTTTCTATGAATAATAACTTCACCCTCAAACTTTGACATACAGGGAAACAACAAACTAAAACTAAAAAAACGCAAAGAACTTACGAAACGACTGGAATTATCATTTCTCAATGTTTTTGCATTTCCAAATGCTTCCAAGATGGGATTCGTCTTCAGTATATCGTACTCTATCCCACTTCCGCCTCCAAGAGCAGCCAAGTATTGCATAGCTATCTTTGCCGTCTCAGTTTTTCCGGCTCCACTCTCTCCACTGGATGAAAAGCGAACATCAAGACAAGAAAAACACAAAAATAAACTGGAGCCATTTGATCATTCAAAACATCCACTGGTTCCTGCTGTGCCACGACTAATGCTTCTTAATAATGGATCTTTGGCAAACAGAATTACCCCACCATGCCAGAATAACACTCAAAAGAAGGCATGAAAGTAACTAAATACTGGCAAGAGGAAGAATCAAAGAGCAAGTATAGGAACTCAGATCCACTGCTAAGACCACAAATTGACAGACCTGATGATGATAGATTGATTAACTTCATCTGGAACAAGAAAGGAAAACAGAAAAAAAAAAAAAAAAGAGTTAGATCTGGAAGGTTTATGTTAAATTACTGACAACTAAGAAACGTGAACACACCCCGTATCATTTCACGAATTGCTGTATCCGCAATTGCATATACATGAGGGCTCTCAATCGACCTATTCTTGTATGCCTCAATGTAGCGATCACCATATAAAGGAACCTCCTTGAAGGGGTTTACAGCCACCAATACTGGTCCTGCTTTAGTCTAGCACCACACAGTATAGCATCAAAAGAACCATCAGTACCTATCAACTTTTTAAGATGGAATCAGGAGAATAATGTACTAAAATGTATATCAACACATAAACTTACATATATCATATCTTGATTGTATCTGTACTGGAGATTGTACAACACTGATGGCTCATTTAAGTAACTTAGTTGCAGGAGATCATCTACGCCATCAAGAATATCAGGGTTTGCCGGTACTAGAATCTCTGATCTTACATTTAAAACCTGTTAAATCAAGTGAAGAAGCAGTATCCAATTATATTAATGTAATCATACATCTAAATGTTCATCAACAGCTACCTTTGGAATCAAGAAAGTCACTTACTTTTCCTTCAGGGAATGAAATAACAGACTCTTCTCCTGAAGTTGACAATATCTTCCCCAGCTCCCAGTTACCGTTTGGAAGTTGGACCCAAGATTGTAACATCTAGAATTTTAAATAGTCAAAATTTCATCCCCAGTAAAGGGAAATGCTAAGACAACACATCAAAACAATAGCATACCATTGGGATGCTGACACAATCAAAACATGATTGTCGAGATTACAGTAACGTACAATAGATATGCTTTCATCCAAGTAAAGAGTGATGTAGAATGAGGGACTCGTAATGGAAAGGAAATATGACTATCTGAAAGCGAATAACAAGACCATATGTAGAGGAAGAAACATTTCCTCTAATATTGAAAGAACAAAGTTTTTTCCCCGTGTCCAAATATTAGTAACACATTTCCCCACATTTTATCAAATATCTAAAAGGCCCTAGTCAAACATACACCTGAAAAGCACAAAGAATAAATCACTCAACGGTCCAAAAGCATCAAGGATATCTTTCCTTCAGCAGGCATTAACTATAACCTATTACTGTAGCAAACCTGTAACCTGTTACCTGTGTAGTGCACATAGTAGTACAAGAATGGTTATTCAATTTGGAATCCCTAACAACTAGGGATCCATTAAAGCAACCTTTCATGTTTTGTAGACAATTTTAGCCAGTAAAAATGGAAACCAGGGAAGGTAGAATGGGCATCAGAGGAGATCAGCAAAACCAATATCCTTAAGCCTCTTTCACAAAGAAGAAATATCTTAGTTTTTACAGGTCAGCGAAAAATTATGGCATACCTAGCTCATGAATTTTTTAGATAATTGAATACCAGATGTGGTAAAGCTTGCAACAGTTTATCCATTCAAACATATCACATTTGCGCAGTGCTATATGCATCCTTGAACTGCAGGCTGCTTGAACGCATCTACTTTTTCAGAGTCAAAATAAACCAGTAAGACTATCATCCTAACAAGAAATCCACCCAAGCCATGAGTATTTCATCATAACATTCCTAAGAATCTGTTATTCTTTGAAATTCTGAATTTCAGTATAAAAAGTACTAAATATACCTTCTTCCGAGCATATGCACTTGTGTCGCTCCACCTGTGTTCATTACTCTGAGACACTGAGCTCGAAGGCAAGGGAGGAAGAGCAGCACCCAGATCTCCATCACCAATTGAGGGCAGCACTCCATTTGAAGTATTATGCCCACTATATGGAGAATCCTCATTTGTGTTACCCATGTCCCCAACATGATCAGCAATTTCATTCGCCTCATTCTTTAATCCACTATTTCCAGAAATAGTAGAGCTGATAATTTCAGCCCTCTGCACACTTAAACCGGAGGAGCTCTCAAGGCGTTCAGAGATTGGTGAATCGACAAGACTATAGTCTGCCTGTAACGGTTTAACAGGCTGCATGGAAGGCATGATCTTCTGAGACATTTTCCTGCGAGAGAAACCGAAGTATCCAGTTTAGACGGTGGCATTCGGAAAAAGAAGAACAATGAAATCAAATGGCAAACTTTTTTATGTCTCCAAAAAGCTTTTAGAAGAAGACCCCACTCAAAGACCAAACTAGTTTATCAACATAATGGAGGGGACCATAGTTAAAGACATAGACTGGAGTGCTTTTGAATCTTCTGTCACTATTACAAAATTTCACAATCTTAAAGAAACAGATGCTAAACTAGGAATGTCTTATGGATTCAGTAGATTGAAGAATCCAGACTTACTCTTTTCCCCCTACAAGAAGGGATGCTTGACTTGATGAAGTTAAAGTAAACAATATCAATGGGTTGCTAAGTATAGCTTCAAACAGTAAGAAATCCATACTTCAGTTGAATTTTGAAGAATATTGACGAAATCAAGAAAATAATATGACAAAAAGATCACGTTAAATAAATAGAAGACCAATTCCATGACACAATTTTAAACCCCTGTTTAGCGATCAAACTGATCTGACAGATTACAATCAAATAAGCCCAAATCCTTCAAAAAATATCATAATTTCTAATGAAATAGCTTCTAATTTTCAATTTTCACAAGAAACACTAATAATCTATCACTAGAGACGAACCCGAACAGAGACAGAAGCAATTATTTCCGCGTAATCACAAGGGCTGGGAACACGAAAACAAATGAACGGTCAATTTTTTTCGATCTGGGTCAAAACTCGATAACAATACCTTCAAAGGCTTGATGGGAGTGAAACCGCCAAGCAATACCACCTTCAGAGGGAACTTCAAGATTCTCGGGAAATCAATTTTCAGCGGTGATTGATCCGAGAAAAAAAAAAACACAGAAGTCCACTTCTCGGGAAGAATTTTATGATTCTGTAGTCTCGGAGACCGAGAAAAATAAAGGAATAAAGACAAATAAAGGTGAGTATATACTTCCGTATATAGTAACCGGGTTAAGTCACGATGAGTAGAGGCTGTTTGGTTTCTGAGAAAATGAGAGAAAATTCCGGAAAAAGATTTGGAAAAGAAAAACGAGTGTAGAAGATGCAGCTTTTTCTCTGCTTCACAAGTAAAAGAAAAAAGAAGAAAATCTGTCGTTTTCTCTTTTTCTTTGTTTTTTTTTTGTTTTTTTTTTTGTCCTTGGAATTACAGTTATTTGCTATGAATTTTATTATTGAAATACTTTTAAATTATCCGACAAATTTGAATGCCTCGGGTTTTTCCACCAACCGAATTTTGAAAAGGAGAAAATTCAGCACCACACGTGCCTGAGTTACCATTTTGCCCTTTAGGTTTTGATCGGATATGCTCGGAAATAAATACATATCCACAACATGAAGATTGTAAATCAAAAGGTGACCAAACAAATTAGAGAAATCTCGCAAAAATATATGAATTTGTTAATTTTTATTAAATAAAACTTTTAACTTAATTTTTGAATTATAAATAAATATAAATTTTATAATAATTATCATTTTAAAAATAATTATGGTCAAAATATTGATTTGACACATAGGATAGGACGTATATCAGAATTTAGAATTAAAAATGATAATGATTATAAAATTTAAATTTATTTTCGACTAAAAAATAAAGTTAAGGTTTTATTTGATAAAAAAACAAAATTTGGATTTTGTTTTATAAAAACTGAAAAGTTCAGGTATTTTTTTTAAAATTTTCCCAACAAATTATATACAAGATTAACTGTTTTGGTAAATTCGAATACAATGACTTAATGAGGAAAAGATACGCATTAACGCTTATGATCCATACAAATTTGAATAATTAAAATATATCCGTTATTTTTCAAATAAACTCGTTATTAGATTTTTAAAAAAATTCTGAACATCTAGATATGCTCTTTTGGAATCTCATGATTTATATATACCATAGTATATCGAATGCATAAAGAACATTTACACGCACAAAACTCTAGTAAGGGATAGTATAGTTGAAAGTAATGACCTTTTTTTAAGATAATTATATTTGAATTGAAATATGATTAACAAATTAAGTCGAAATAACTTTTTAGAATCAATACAATAAAATATATGTTGAATTTAAATTAAATATATTTCTTAAGTAACGGAATCTGAATTAAATCCAAATAAAAATCTTAAATCAATTAAGTCCAATTTAAAATTTAGATAGATACAACTTTTTTATAAATCTATAAAAAAAAAGTAAATAAACAATAATTGAATTGAAAGGAAAATAAAAAATGAAACATTAAATCGTAATCTATGTGACTATATTATATGATATGTAAAGAGTGTTACTCCGATTTCGTGAAAGACTCGACCTTTTAATTAGAAACCCAGTCATATCGATCATAATTCCAACTGTAACAAATTTGATTAAAAAAATATTTTTGAATAGGACGATAATTTATCGTTTGTGAAAAGAAGTAAAAGAATTACGATAAAAGAATGGAGAATTGTAATCATTCGCTCTTTTTCTACGCTTCAAAACGATCGAAAACCTTCTCTCTCAAAAAGAAACTCAATTCTCAGTATTCTCCCAAATATTAATTCTTCTCCCACGGACGACCATTTCCTTCTTGTCATATCACACCAATGGACTTCAATGGGCTTTATCAATGCATAGCCATACATACATATACACACACGTTATTAACATATATGTACATTAATAATATATATATATATATATACATGCAATTATATAAATATTTGAATAATTAATGAATTAATTAAAAAATATTATGTATTAATATTAATTTTATTAGTATTTTTTATCAAGTTAATTTTCTATTTAAATTCAATTCTCACGGTTTGTTCAATTCCAATTAAAAGAATTTAAACACATGGTTATTGAATTTGGAATACGGTTCGTTACATGTTAATTAGTAGATATAATATTTCCGATATTTTGCAATGCTATGTTGCATTTGAGATATTTTATATATAAAAGTATATTTTGTGAGGAGGGTGTGACACGTATCTTTTTTTTTGTTAAGAATATGAAAGGTTTAATTATAGTACATTAGTCACGTAGTCCAAGGAGTCTCACCGAAATTAAGTTGGTGTTGTTATGTTTGTATATATTTTTATGGGACAATCTCATATTTCCCCACCAATTTTGCTTAAAGTTACAATTTCCTACACTAATTATTAATTTAGCAAAATCCTATACTGAAATTCAAATTTTTCCAAATTCACCCACGAAATTGGGAAATTGATTTCAATCTCATACACATCGGGTGACGGCGTGAAACAGAGCACAATTCCGTTAAAACCGTAGCTGACGTGGCAAGACACGTCAGAAAAATTGTCCACATATATATGCCACGTGTTTAATCTTTAAACCGGAAATCACTAATTAGACCGACTCGGTTTACACATTAAACCGAAAAAAAATATAAAAAAACCCAAATCTGTAACCTAAATCCCCAAAATCGACATTCACCTCTCTCCCAAAATCGACATACGCTCTCATCCCTCAGCTCTCTCCAGCTCGTCGAGCATATCCTCGGCCGCAACTCCGGCGACTGTCAGTCGCAACTCTGGCGACATTCGAATGTGAACTTCGGCGACATTCGGCACCGATTCTGGTGACACCTTTCTACTTCGGCGACACTCGTCAGGCGATTCCGGCGACACCGTACTCACCCGCGAAACACTCCTCCTCCGACTTGACGGTAATTTTCGGTGGCTTTCTCCCTTTGGTTGTTTCAGTCTACATCGATAGTTGTTGTTTCCTCATTTCGTCATAAGATTTACGAATTTAACCCCCTACCAAAAGAGTCATAGTGAAATTGTACTGAAGCCACAAAGAAATTGGAAAAAAAGGGTTCTTTCATATACTGATAGGTTGATGGTGTTGGTTTGGTTGATGGTGTTGAATGTAAGAAGCAGTAGATCAATTGGGTTTTTTGTTTTTTGGATATATAGGCTGATTTGAATAAATTTTTTTAATGAAGACCAAATGATGTGTTTTTTAGATAATTGGGTTTATGTGATTGATTAGATGAGTTCAATATCGGAAGGAAGTTCTGGATCTGGAAGGTCGAATAGGAAAAAAGTAGAAGGTAGTGTTCGACGAGGCGTTCCAACACAATGCGAGTGTGATAACCCAGAGTACCGTAGGAGGGCGGGGAGTGATCGCCAGTGCAGAGGCACGGACAAGGCGCGGCTCCTGACAAACTTCTAGGTAGGCGGTACAGGGATGAATCGAACACACCAGAATGAGAGAGATCCGAGGGGTGTATGGACTATACGGTCTAAGATAACATAAAAGAATTAGTTGAGCTACTCATATCAACAAGGTGCACTTACCTTTTTGGTTGACTATCCCGAGAGAACTCCAAAGTTAAGCGTGCTGGCTCTGGAGCAATCTCAGGATGGGTGACCTATTGGGAAGTGTCTCGGTATACGTGCGAGTAAGGACAAAACACGCTGAAATATCTCGGGTTGCTGTGTGAGGGCAGTTTCGACAATTCGTAGCGGCCTCGGGTCGTTACACATGGTATCAGAACCGGTATTCTCCCAGTACGGTGTGGTTCGAGGACGAACCAGGCGGAAGCTGGTGGGTCTGTGACAACCCAAAGTACCGTAGGAGGGCGGGGAGTGATCGCCGGTGTAGAGGCACGGACAAGGGGCGGCTCCTAATGAGCTTCTGGGTAGGGGGTACAGGGATGAATCGAACACACCGGAATGAGAGAGATCCGAGGGCTGTATAGGTATAGGACTATACGGTCTAAGATAACATAAAAGAATAGTTGAGCTACTCATAGCAACAAGGTGCACCTACCTTTTTGGTTGACTATCCCGAGAGAACTCCAAAGTTAAGCGTGCTGGCTCTGGAGCAATCTTAGGATGGATGACCTACTGGAAAGTGTCTCGGTATGCGTGCGAGTGAGGACAAAACACGCTGAAAGGTCTCGAGTTGCTGTGTGAGGGCAGGTTTGACAATTCATAGCGGCCTCGGGTCGTTACAGCGTGTGTGGATCTGGTATTTCTAGATGGACCTCCCAAACTCCAAATAATCCTAGAAGGAGGTTTTTCCGTTGTGCAAATCAACAGGTAATAATTTTATTTGAAAAAAATTGTTTGATTGTTTAGTGATGAATAACATTGTTATGCTGATGTTATGTGATTTAGGGGAACCACTCTCACATATTTAAATGGATTGATGACGCTATTGTTGAAGAAATCGAAGATATACATGTTGAACAAAAAAAACAAGGTGCTGAAATAGAACGTATGAATTCAAAATTGCAGAAAATGGAAACAGAGAAGCAAGAGTTGGAAGCGAGGTTTGAAAAAATGGAAGCAAAGAAGCAAGAGTTGGAAGGCAAGGTTGAAATAATTGAAAAAGAGCAGAAGGAAATGGTATACAAATTGTTGGTGGTATTGTTTCTTTTCGTTTCAGTTTATATGTATTACTATGATTTGTCTGTTGTTTGAAGTTTTCAATGGGATGTATGGATGAATGTATTTGTAGTATTTAAGGTACATTAGACCAGACAAGTATTTAATATGGATTATGTTTGACTTTAAAAAGTGTGTATGTGATGTGTATATACATGTGTCTAAAACAGATTAAATTCGAGTATAATATAACAAAGGAGACGATGTCATACATATCGGAACAGTCGTTACATTTCCCACAATAAGGATTAAAAGACATGAACTCATAGATGCCATACACATTGTATTCAAGGACAAAACACGCTGAAATATCTCGGGTTGCTGTGTGAGGGCAGTTTCGACAATTCGTAGCGGCCTCGGGTCGTTACACATGGTATCAGAACCGGTATTCTCCCAGTACGGTGTGGTTCGAGGACGAACCAGGCGGAAGCTGGTGGGTCTGTGACAACCCAAAGTACCGTAGGAGGGCGGGGAGTGATCGCCGGTGTAGAGGCACGGACAAGGGGCGGCTCCTAATGAGCTTCTGGGTAGGGGGTACAGGGATGAATCGAACACACCGGAATGAGAGAGATCCGAGGGCTGTATAGGTATAGGACTATACGGTCTAAGATAACATAAAAGAATAGTTGAGCTACTCATAGCAACAAGGTGCAC